GTATTTTGAGGTCTAGTTTCTAGTGCAAATATCTTGGCAAATTAGAAATAAAACAAAACTAACTTATCAGCAAGATATAGACATTTGTTTTAGGTAAATAATTCCTTAATGTTGATTTTAAAAAGTGCTTGTTTCACTGGCAGATTATTTAACTCGTAAGATATTTTTCCCATGTTTTAAATTAATTTATGGAACAAATACTTTATCAGTCTTAAGGAATTATTTATTTAAAAAAATACTCTTATCTTGCTAAATTGTTACTTATAAGTTAGTTTGTTTTATTTCAAGTGAACTGAAATATTTGGACTAGAAACGAGACCATAATCTCTTGGTAAGATTTATCAGATTTAAGTGTTTTTGCAGTGTTTTATTTCACCTTGACCCCGCTGAGGAATGCAAAATACTCTCACAAAACATTATTAAAAACAGTATCAAATGATATATTATTGTATTGAAACTCTTTATTGTTTAGATAATTTGTATCGTTTTTAACTCCCAAATTTGAACACTTACCTTTAAAATGTGTGACAAGTTCTTTAATTTTACTGTAGGAAATGTATATAATAACATTTGACAGTGATCGATTCTGCCCCGTTTCTGTGCTGCAGATTTTCTATGATCTGGTGCGACAGATCAACAGGAAAGCGCCGATGGAAAAGAAGAAGACAAAAAAGAAGTCGGGTTGCACGCTGCTCTAAAAACGCTCTCCCACGGTTGCTCCAGGCCAGGTGAGTGGGAGCTTGGACTAAATTTACTCCAGACGTTCGCATGGCTGCCGGGCGTTCTGAGCTCCGGGTTGTTACCGAACATTTAAAACACGCAGCAAACTGACGGAGAATGAGTGGAGCTTTTTTCCTGTGAGCAAAAATATTTTTACACTTTGAAAAACAGAACGTTTAAGGAACCAGAAAACTTCTGTAAAATGCATAAACATTAGCTGCGATTCTCTGATCCTTTATAGCTTGATCTCATTTTAAAGGCAACATTTTGATTATTTAATCTGCACTGTCAACCATATTGCAACTGTAGCTATTTTTTAATATTCTTTGATGTTGGATTTTACAGACATTTATTTTTCTCATGGGAGTTATTTAACAAATGAGGCATTAGATCAGTGTTTCTCAACCTTTTTGGGCCCCCCTGTCCATTATCCAGGTCCCTCACTGCCCCTGGTTTCTAAGCACTAAATGGTACTGGATTATGAATATTACTATCATTATTGTTGATGTTTTGATTTTTATGATTGTTTCTGTATTTATCATCAAAAATAATTTCCCAGAAAAATTTTTCCTGTGAACAAAGGAAATAATTTAATAGTAATTAATTTTATTTGCCTTCCATAAAACATAAAATATCTGAAAACCAGACAAGTGAATCTCAGCACAGTCATCAACTGATGCTGTGAAGCTACCAGTAGCAAGAGAAGCTAACAAACACTGAAGAGAAGAGCTGCCATCGATACAGTTGTAGCCAAGCATGTTTTAATGTTGCACAATACAGTTTTAGCAAGCAGCGCAAAGTCAAAACTGGTATTGTTGTGCATTAAAGGTGTAAAGTTTACCTTCGAGCAAACGCCCCCCAAAGGAATCCAAGCGTCCCCCTTTTGTAAAAATTTCCGCTAGCGTCCCCTGCTGTCCTCTGAACGCCCCTTGGGGGTCGGTACCACCTGTTGAGAAACACTACATTAGATGCAAGTCTTACTGCAAGTTAAAACTCAATAATAATGAAATTTATTAGTTTTTGTTGTTGTTTTTGTACAGGTTTTTCTGACAAAGCTATATTAAGCACACACACATTTATATATATATACATATATAAGCTTGAAAAGGTTTTAAGTCCTGAATCCTTCAACATTGTCATACAGAAACTAAAAGTCACCTCAAGCATAAAGTAAAAGAATGCTATGTTAATGCATTTTATATAATTTAAAAATTAATTGTTTTTTGGCATCTCAAAAATGTTTCTAATATTGTATTAAAAAGACTCCAGTGTTGAAATCAAAAATCTACAAAATTTTACGAATAGAAATTCTAATTTTCCAAAATCAAAATCCAGTTTCATTTGATCATAAATTAATAATTTAATTGGAGCAAATTTCTTTTACGTGAAATGTTATTTCTGAATCCGTTATAGCAGAGTAACTATAACTTAACCTGAATAAAGAGGTTTAAACAAGGTTTGGTGCTTTAGCTATAAAACACACCAAACATCTATTTTTTTCTTTCTGTTATGAATAAATCTTTAATGAGCTTTTTGGGAGCCAAAACTAATATAAAAATGTGTGGGGGGCCACAAAGGATATTTTAAAAGAAACTCTTTTCTTCTCCTCCATAATAAACTAAAGTTGAATTTGAAATCAAAGGTTTTGTACAATTGAGTTGTTTTGTTCTTATTTGATGTGAATTTGGCAACAAATCAATTAATTCCATGATAAATTAAAACAAACGCAAAAATGTCCAGTTGCATGATTTGTTGTTTTTCCTCTTTCTCCCAAAAACTGGCTTTGGTCTCAACCAGTGCTTTTTTTGAAGGACAATTTTGTTCACAGAAAGTTTATAATTAATTTTATTTGCCTTTGTGTTTTTAACTTGGATATTTAAAGCGTCTTCCAGCTCTTGTGTCAAATGCTTGTTAGAATTTAAAATTTGAGAATATGTTCTTGCATTATTATGCCAATAACGTTACATTACTGAATGCTTTGCTTTGAGTAAAAGTAGGTCCATGTTTGTGGTTCTAATTACTCTAAAACTAAGACGAATGTAGAAACTTGAATGAGTGGTAATGTATTTTTTGTACTTAATATTTAGCTGGTTTTCATCAACCACCTGTTTGCTTTGAGGTCTGGGGGCCGCATAGAATCGGCTAGAGGGCCTTTAATGGCCCACTTCCCACACTTTGAACACCCATGATCTAACTAAAGTTTTTTAAAAATTACATTTTGAGAAGAATGATCTGATCTTAAGAAATTATTATTATTGAACATAGATTATTTATAAACTGTTATGTTAACCATCCGCTGAGCTAATCTGACTAACAGCATGAATGAGAGTTTTCAAAGTGAATTTTTCATATTTTATTTTACTTAATCATGACGTTGTGTTTCTGTTTCTACCTGCAGAATGATGAACTGTTTCCCGGTGGATGGTGCCAGCATTCCAAGTCCTCTCCAGAGCATTTTTGAAAAAGGCTGGCTCAGAAAACCACACCATTTGCAAAACAGAAGAAGGCACATACTTTAAAGAAAAAACTTTTTGCTTTTTACCGGCAGAGAAAATCAACCTCTTCTTATATTGTCAAACCTTGACGACAAAATATATTTTTCTTTTTTTTTTTTTTTTTTTTTTCTATGAAGTGTCTTTTCTTCTGGAAATAACAAAGTAAAAGAGGAAACTGGATTTGAATCCATTTAAGGGAACTAATGAGAATTTTATTATGAGTAACAACAGTCTTTGGCATATTGTGACAATATATTTGTAAAGAAATCCATGTAAAAATGTTGATCTTCTTGTACAATTCTGCACTAACATTGTCAATGAAGATGCATCATTGTCCATAAGTTACTCGCTCCTACTTACAAGGATGTGTATTAATAACATCTCTCCTAAGTGACTTTGTTTTATATTGAAAGCTGCAAGCCTTCCATATTTCCCATAATATATTCTACTTCCATTTTTGCATAATAAAGTTAAGGAAATTAGTATTTTATAGACCGATGGGGGTAAGGGTGCACTCTGATTTGTGTCGAGGTTGAAAACGTATTGTACTAAACCACCTCTAAAACTGCTTCTTACCCTGTCACAGATGATTTTCCAGCTTTTATGAATGATTAAATTTTAGTACATTTTCATTACTCTTGTTTTTGTTGTTGAGCTTCCTGTTTAAAGAGACGTTTGCCAGACTGAAAGTGTAAGAGGAGCGTTTCCTGCTGGCAGAAATGACTCGGGTTCAGCAGATTTGGATTGAGCTGAGAGAGGAAGCGGCAGCAAAGAGGAACCCAGACTTTTGGCCTCAAACAGCAGGCAGGATGTGAAGTAAAAAGCAGAATCGAAAACTGACTGGGGGATGAAGTTGGAGGCTAAGGAGCAGATGTGATCAGATGTTTAAAGCATGTCACCATATTATTGAGTCAAATTAATTTGGGACTTTATAAAATTTTGCTTTAAGCTTTAAGGTAAAGCTGCAAATGGTACGAATAGAAAAAAAGCTTACAGACAAAAAAAATCAATCAAACCTTGAAAACATGATGTGCAGAAGAAACAAAAAAAAAATATTTTACCACCTGGAAAACTTTAGAGCAAATCCAAACTATAGCACAAGGGATTCTGGGAAAAAATTTTTGCTTTCTTCCTACATCTAAAATTTGTTGCCATTCTATTTGTTTTACATTTGCTCAGTGTCACCTACATTCACATCAGCTGTTTAATGCGACAAGTTCGCTTCTCTTTAAAGTCCGGTTCGTTTGGGGGAGTGTGAATGAGTAATAAATGTGGACCAAAAAAAGTAAACTCGCCTAAAAACTCGGGGTTTTTTTATGGTTGACATAAAATCTGGTGTGGTTTAAATGCAGATGTGAAAGCAAAACAGACCAGAAACTGCTTCAAAAGTAGGAAGTGGACTACAACACAAGGGATTCTGGGTAAATACAACCAAAGCAAACGTGAAAGTCTACTTTTACAGGGAGAAATGGGTTGTGGTCTTTACTAAAGATAAATGAGAAATCATTCAACTACTAAAATTTAACACTACTCCATTTTTATTTACATTTTCTGAAGAAGGAAATTCCACTGGCCGTCTTCTTAGATTTTCATGTCATTTCCTTCAGCAGTTGCTGCTGCAGCGCCACCGCAGGCGAGGAGGGGAACAGGCGCTCCAATTAGTTTGGATCATTTGTGAAAGTGAATGCACCAGCTGAAAATGTTGCAATTTCGATCCCAAGTCAAACTGAGCCTACCAGGACTATCAGGTGTGAAAACATCCTAAAGTAGAAAGACGTGATAAGTAAAAATAACTTAAGCTAAACAACATTTAGTATCTAAAATTTAATATCCTCCAAGAATCGTTTTTATAGTGTACATATTTCACTATAAAAGAGATGGATTCAGACCTGAGCGAAATCCAGTCTGGTACGGTTGCACCAGAGCAGCAGCTTTCGAGTCTTTAAATTGAATTGATCCGCATTAAACCCGGTGATTGATCGGTGGCTCCCCGCCCTCCTCTCCTCACACGCGGCCCTGCTGGCTGCTCGCCCCCTCCCCCTCGCTGCCATCATTTTCCCATCTCTTCCCTTCAACCAACATGGCCGCGAAATCTGATGGTGCTCCTGCCTCTCCGCGAAACGAAATCCCACCCGAGTGTCCCGCCCGGTCCGAACCGGCCCCGCCGGAGCGCCGCGTGGGCGAGCACCGCTACAGCCTGCAGGACTTCTGCTGGACCCTCTGCGTCCTGCTGGTGTTTTTCTCGGACGGGGCCTCAGACCTGTGGCTGGCTGCCGACTACTACCTGCGGAGGGAGTACTGGTGCTTCGCCTTGACTCTGGTCTTTGTGATCGTCCCGTCCGTGGTCGTGCAGGTGTTGAGCTTTCGGTGGTTCGCCTATGATTTCACGGAGTCCGTGGAGAGCGGCACGGCGGCGGCGGCCGTGGTGGCGGCGGCGGCGGGCGCGGAGGGAGGCGACTTCAGCACCAAGGACAGCGGCGAGTGGGGCGCTGGCCGGGCCGCCGCGGTGCCGCCGGGGCCGACCGGCGGGGGCCGAGTCCGGGGCTGCTGCAGAGCCTTCATGTGGGTCTTTCAAGCCCTCATTCACATTTTGCAGCTGGCGCAGGTCTGGAGGTGAGTCGCAGATCCGGGAGGTTCGGATCGGAACACCTTGTCTCTGGTTTTTGTGTTGAACATCTCTTCTCACCTGATCTTTGTGGTGCCAATGTGGTTTTGTGACATTTCTCCCTGGTTTGCAAGGGGATTAAACTCCTCCCTCTCTTCCTCAGACCCTGAGAAACACGTTCACATGGAGTATTCCATTGATTATCCCGACAATTAATCGAGTAATCAGACAAAGAAATTGATATACCGGTAATCTGCACGTTTTTCATTTAATTACTAAAAAAATGCAAATACACAATTCAGAACATTTCATAGCCTAAAATGCAAAACATGTCATTCCATGACTGAAAGCTTGATCATTTGTAGCAAAGGATTCATCTAAATACTTCTAACATCAACATGTGAAAACTGCAGGTATTTCTGCTTGTCTGCAAGTCCAGTATCTTTCCCCACTTGTTCATTTAAACCTAATCATGTTGGTGCCAAAAGAGGATGATTGTGTTGTGTGACATTGTGGCTTTGGGTCTCCACATCTTGGAAAGTTATAAACACATTCACGAGTATATTATTGATTATTCCGATGATTAATCAAATAATCAAACCAAAAAACTGTCCATGTACTGTCAAATTTTTATCTAATTAGTCAAGTTTCTTTTTTTTATAATATTAAACATATAAAGAATTCAGGTGGACAAATTATTTTTTATTGCCTACAGTGCAATAGCAGCATTTCTTTACTGTACGCTTGACCATTTGTTGCAAAGGATTCATCTGCAGGTAAATATTTCTAACATCAACATGCGAAAAGATCAACTATTTCTGCTTGACTAACATCACAGTAGTGTGAGGCTAACCTGTTGTTTATTTTTTAATTATTCATTAATTAACCACAAGGTGTTAAATAGGACATTTATGAACATAATTTGAACCATGTGAAGCTGAAACTATAACACTTTACTAGCATTTATAGAATAAAGTCCATTTTCACTTTATTGTGGTAAATTATCAACTTAAATAAAAAGAATTATATTATCTTCAGTTCTGACTTAATTATTGTGCTGAGTGTGTTGTTTTTTCAGAAAATGCAGTTTTTTAAGTCTGTACACTAACGTTACTGATTAATCAATTGATCATGATTAAATCGATTAATCGTTTTCACTCTAATGAGAAAATTTCTGCAACCTTTTTTGACTCATAAGTTGCACGTTTGTATACTTCTCTCTAAAATATTCAGATCTGAGCCTATTTCTGACACACGCAGCCATAAACTGCCCAGATGGACACTAGTAGGTCTGTGGGTCAACAACTTGGTCAGTGATGGTGAGTCGGGGCTCAGATTTAAAGTCCTCTGATCGGGTTTGACAGGCTTGAACTACTGCCAGTTCAAGGAAACATTCAATTGTGTGGCGGGTGTGAGGCAACACTCCCAGTGTGAGACAAATATACATAAATGCTTGCCATTTGGTCACGTTAGAGAGGGAGAACTTGGACTCTTATGGCTTGATTTACCTGAAGAACAACACAATGTGTGTCTTTCTTTGCCCCCGCGCTTCCTTCCTCTTGAGACAGCAGTATTGATCCCATACATCCGCCCGGAGACTGAGTGAGTGTGAGTGTGTCCAGGAGCACATTAAAATGTTGTGGCAGCACAGAATTACTGGTAATGTCATTAAAGCTGTTGTGTGTGTGTGTGTGTGTGTGTGTGTGTGTGTGTGTGTGTGTGTGTGTGTGTGTGTGTGTGTGTGTGTGTGTGTGTGTGTGTGTGTGTGTGTGTGTGTGTGTGTGCGTTAGTGTGTGTGTGTCCTGTTCATGGGTGCCACACTGGCAGCAGTGTGTCTGAACGGTAAAGAGGATTAGCGCTGTGTGTTTTACCCCGAGCTGTTAACTCGCGAATGATCTGTCACTGATACACATTTAGTCAGGTGAACTGGGATCAATTGAGGCCTGCAACCTGAACTGAATGTCAGCTCACATGAGATGTGATACGGGAGGGTTGTGTCATGGATAGAGTGCAGTGAAACCATCTGTCAGTCTTTCACCCTCATCACTCCACATATGCACCTTGAAGAAAAAGGGGTTACAGCAATTTTGTGTCTTGTAGGCCTAAAAAAGTCTTAGACTGATGTTTTCTGATGTGTAATTTATTTATTTATTGGTGCGGTCGTTCACATTGCCAAATATATTCGACTTCTAAGCGTCAGGCCGCAGAATAATGACATTTGTCGAGTATCGGTGATGTTCAGGTCGGATGAATTCGAACTGGCCGTTCAGACACGATACATTTGAAAAGATCAGATACGAATCGGATCTCAGACCACATTTCTAAGTATCCTGGGTCACATTCGAAAAAGTCCGATCTGGGTTGTTCAGACTGTCATAATAAGATTACGTACAGGTTGCAAGAAGGCAAAAAAAAAAAAAAAAGAGTTTACAAAACGACCAGGGAAATTGGAGGTTTAGAATTTATATAGAAAAAATAATTTAAAGTGAGCAAGGTGTCTTGAAAATCAGCAAAATCATCAAAGCTAAGCTAATGATTAGCTCTGCTTCTGCAGCATTAGCAGACGAGCAGACGCTAATTCCAACTGAATTATAAAATCATTTTTTCTGCTTTTATTTGTAAAAATGTCTTAACATGTATCCTTTTTCCCTCACTGCTTCTACAAAGTCCATGCCTCACTCCTTTGTGTTCTTTGATCACATGAAAAGCAAATAAAACACTGAAGGTTGTGACTTTGATTTGACAAAATGTATCACTGCACACCGTCTCTTGTGGTTCGCTAGTCTGCTTGACATGAGTCTCTTCTGACCCTGTTTCCCAAGGCGATTACAGACATTTACTGCTTCAGTGCCCTGAAATTTATCAGCGTTTTTCCAAACATGTCCAGTTAAGCTGAAATCTGTCATTTGAATCCAGTAATTTTGCTTAAAAACAGCGTTAATTTGGATTTGTTTTGTTCTGTTTTTGTTACAGTTTTTTCTCTTCTGCAGCCTTGTTCCTTTTTTGTTTTTTAAGGGAAGAGATTCAACACATGATCCACATCCCTCTTTTTGATCTCAGCACAGAAAACATAACGTTAGACAGACTGAGATCTCAAAGTGAGACCCTCAGGCCATTTTCTAATTTCTGAGATTGATCTAAAGATTTCTGTTTTCTCTAGCAAATTTCTGACTTTTCAACCACAAAATAAGTTTTCCTCAGAAATTTCAGAGATTAATCTCAACATTTTTAGTTTTTTTTTTTGCTGCAAATTTTCAGCTTTTTAAACTAAAAATGTCCATGTTTTTTTTTTGTGAAAATTTCTGAGATTAATCTAAAACATTCTGAGTTTTATCTAGCAAATTTCTGACTTTTGAAACTCAGAAATGTGCTTGTGTTCCTTGAAAGTTTCTGCCATTAATCTGAACATTTCTGAGTAAATTTTTTAATATTGGAGTTCAGAAATTTTCAGTTTTTTTTGGAGATTAATTGCAATATTTCTTTGTTTTTTCTAGAAAATGTTCAAATTTAAAACTAAAAAATTTCTGGGTTTTTTTTCTAGAAGGTCTTAGAGAATTTCTGAGATTTGTCTGAATATGTCTGTTTTGTGGGAAAATTTTGACTTTTGCAGATCAGAAAGTTTTAAGTTTTTTTTCTAGAAAATTTCAATGATTTCTTAGATTCGTCAAAATTTCGTTGAAAAAAATCAGAAATGTTTAGATTACCAGTAAGTAAAGAATGTTTGACTTGTAAAAGCCTGAAAGTCTAACCATGACGGTATGTGAATCTTCCTCTGACGCTCAGGTACGTCCACGCCTTGTACCTGGGGGTGCAGAGCCGCTGGCATGGCGACCCTGAGCGGCGCCACTACTACTGGCGGATGATGTTTGAGAGCGCGGACATCAGCATGCTGCGTCTGCTCGAGTCCTTCCTGAAGAGCGCTCCCCAGCTGGTGCTGCAGCTCAGCATCATGATCCACACCAGTCAGGTTCTACCTCTTCAGGGTGAGTGGTCAGACCGGACGCCACGAACACCATTGTGAAGACAATAACAGGAAACCAAGACTTCATGGTGTTTCACTGGGATTTGATGTGTTAATTAGACCAAGAGTTCTCAAATCTTCTCCCCAAAAGAGCTTTAACCTCTGACCCCCTTTGAAGCCCAAAGACACAACTACATATGAAAAGAAACATCAACCTTAGATTGTCCTTCATCCATAAATATTACATCCATTTTAGCATAAATGGTGCTTCAATCACACCACATTAGAAAATCTCTGAGATTAAGCTCAAAGTTTCAGTTTTTTTCTTTTTCTAGTACATTTTCCACATTTGGAGTTCAGAAATTTTCTTCTTTTTTCATATTATCGTCTGAGATTATTCTCAAAATCTCTGAGTTTTCGCTTGCAAGTTTTACACTTTTCAAACTAAGAAATTTCCTCGTTTTTTCAGCAAATTTCAGAAATTCATCCAAAAATTTCTAAGATTTCTCTGACAAAATTTTCAATTTTTCAATTCAGAAATTTACAAGTTTTTAGTGGAAAATTGTTAAGATTAATCTTAAATTTTCTGATTTTTTTTTAGGGATTTCTGATTCTGAATAATCTCAGAACATTTCTGGACAAAATATTGTGAAAATTTTGTATCCCCAAAACTCAGAAATGTTTCATTATTGTTCTAGAAAATTTAGTCAGAATCAGAATTTCATTATTAAAAATTAGACATTTTTTGATTAATCTCCAAAATTTTCAACAACAAAAATTTTCAAGAATGAGTTTTTTTTTCAAAAGTAAAACATTTTTACCCTTTTGAATCTCAGAATTTTTTTTCTAGAACATTTCTGAGATTAATTGAAAAATTCCAGATGTTTCCTTGGCAGTAAATTACTCCTCTTTATTTCTATCTAGATGTCCCTAATTCCACCCTGTCCTTATCGCGTCTCTGCAGGGATTTCTGCCTCCGCCTCGCTGCTGTCCCTCGCCTGGATGATCTCGTCCTACCAGAAAATCCTGAGGGACTCGAGAGACGACAAGCTCCCCATGACCTACAAGGCCGTGATGGTCCAGATCCTGTGGCACCTGTTCACCATCGGTGCCCGGGCGCTGGCCTTCGCCCTCTTCGCCTCCGTGTTCCAGCTTTACTTTGGCATCTTCATCGTGGCGCACTGGTGCATCATGACCTTCTGGATCATCCAAGGCGAGACGGACTTCTGCATGTCCAAGTGGGAGGAGATCATCTATAACATGATGGTGGGCATCGTGTATATTTTCTGCTGGTTCAGCGTCAGAGAGGGCCGCACGCGCTGCAGGCTGCTCATCTACAGCCTGACGGTGTTCGTGGAGAACGTGGCGCTCACCGCCGCCTGGTTCGTGTACCGCGGCGCGACCGAGCGTCACGGCGGCCCGGACTTCTACGCCGTGGTCATGGTGTGCATTGTGGCCAGCAGCTACGCGCTTGGCACCTTTTTCATGTTTGTGTATTACTGCCTGCTGCACCCTGACGGCTCCATGTCCGGGTGGGGCTACTTAGCGGAGAAGGAGGTTCCCGTGGAGGTCCTGGCGTCGCCGACCTCCAGCCTCCCGCCGGATCTAGTCGGCAGCCCGCCGAGGACCCTCCAGAGAACTAAAGGCTTGGACAGGGAGCCTGGGGTGGACGGAGACGTGTTTAAGGTGCGCCCTCCGCGGGGCGCCAAGCTTCCTGTGCCTCACCTCAAACCCAGGACAGAGGGCCCCGTCATCCGAATAGACCTACCGAGAAAGAAATACCCGGCATGGGACGCTCATTATATCGACCGACGGCTGCGTAAAACCATCCTGGTGCTGGAGAGCGCAGCCCCGGTGACGCCGAGGATTCAATACCGCTGCCTGAGCACAGCCAAAGAAGTGATGGAGTACGAAACCACCGTGTGATGTGCCGGAGTTGCTGTGACTCAGCTGGACATCCCGCCTTAAAGTGAAGATGGCAGGAGGAACTGCTGTCAATGCACAGTATGTTTCAGCTCCGCGATCTCCGCTTGGTCTCTGTGCTGGTGGGGGAATGCGTCTTTATGTTCTGCTAGAAAGAAAAGAAGGGTTTGAAAGAAATTATGTTGTGTATAGGGCTGGGCGATATGTCTTTTTGATCATTCTTTGAACATGTAATTCAAAAATTTATACATTTTTGAATTAAATATGCACTCCTTGGGTGACGTCAGCGTGTCCAAGTCCGCCATTTTGGTTCTTGTTTTATTCGGATTTTGGAATCAGGTCAACTCTTCTGTATAGAACTAAGACCAGCCCACATTTACGAGAATAAATTGGTACTTTTCAAACACAACAAAACAATTAAAATGAGGAATGTTGAGCATCTTCGCAAGAATAGGTTTTACTTAATAGAAAAACTTAATCTTATAAACACATCAGCATCAAATTATTATCAGCAGCAGGACTTTGAAATAGAGATGCAATCAGTTACGCGACTTATAATTAATTGTCGACTAATTGTTTCAGATGATTAATAAAGTTGGACCTTCTTTTAGCCTTGTAGTTTGACCTCCACCCAGAAGAGGCGCTGCTTGTCGTCCTCAGGCGGAGCCGTTGATCCAGAATCAAAGATGGCGGCATAGCATAACAGGAAAGAGAAACGATCCGAACAAAATGAACTTTATGCGGTTTTGTTTGGGAATATAAACACTCGATAAGCTTTTTGAGTTTCACCTCGATAAATTTAGCTTAGCCTCATCAACTTATTTTAAGACGTTTCTTTCTGTTAAAATTGTTTATTTATCTAACGTTGACTACATTCTCGTAATTAAACAAAAATTCTCATACTCTTAATACTGCGTATTGATTAAAAAAATTATTTTCTATCACTTGTCCTTTTTTTTAGAATAGAAAGCGAGAAAAAAACGGATTTGATTTGAAAATATGGGATATTTCATGTTTGAAGCCATATCGCCCAGCCCTAGTCATGTACAGAAGGGGCGTACTTTGGTTTCTGTATCAGTTCTCAGGTCATGGATGTGGCACAAAGAGGTGAGGAAGAAGCACAGGCAGACAGAGAAATGTAAGGGAAACACCAACCTCTGCAGGGTGACAAGCCTTCAAGCACGCAGGGTTATTTATGGCAGCTACAACACCGCTGACTGAGTACTGAGGCTGATCAAAATCTAATCCTGCAAACTACAGCACAGGTAGTTTTCTTGGTTATTGTCATTTTTCAGTAGCTTAGAGTCACGTTGCAAGAGAAAAGTGGAGTAAAAGGAACAATTTGGGCTGAATGTCAAAACTTTGGACTGCGTGAATATTTATTATAAGGCTTTTTACGCATCTTCATGCTGTTAGTAGGATTTTCAACATTCCTCTCGTTTTTTCTTTTAGTTAAAATTGAAAGAAAATTTGTTTACAAGCGGGCTGTTATGTCGTTCATTTCTCTTTCAAGTATGAAAATGCACTGAAAAGCAAATTTGTTGTGACTTTTATAATTTTTTCAGGGCATAAATGTAATGGACTTTCCATTAAAAAAAAAAAAAGCAAAAGCTACATGACAGATATTATTTAACATGTAAATTATTGTATAATGAAGAGGAAGTTTTAAGGACACCGGTGTTTGTTATTGTTACTGTACTGATACTTTCTGAAAGGAACTACCTTAAAAATGTAGAAAAAAACAAACAGTTCCCAATCCTAAAATCCAAACATGAAGGCTATGATAGTAGTGATGGTAAAAACACAAGATTTAGTCTTTCTTTGAAGACTAAATCTGCTGTAAATTTGATTTACAGCAGACTTCCTGACATTTTTTAATATTAAGAAACAAACTTCCAGAATTCTCAGTAATTTTAAACTCATTTTAAAAACATGAGTACTAAACAGTCATAAAAAAATGGAACCTGCAACAACCAGAGATGGATGGATGAACGAACAGATGGATGTTGGATGGATGGATGAACAGGTGGATGGTTGGTTGGTTCATAATGTGTTTCAGATCCTCTAAATCTCTTTGTGTGTTTTAGTTTCCGCAGATTGAACTGAACTGGATCTTTTCCAGTTCACCATCTGATCTCAGTCTGAGCTTTTTAAACCCAAAGCTAAAGAAAACATTTGTTTACACCCAACAGGTTCTGACCCAAACTCTTACCTGGGTTGTTGTCCTTTAGTGCAGATAGAAAATGGACATTTCTGAATTTTGTATTTTCGCGGTGTGTATTTGTTTGTGAGCTTCACAGACCAGCAAGAGTGAAAATGATGGGACTGAACAGGGGGATTATGGGTAATTCATCTGAAACTGTGTCACTGAGATGCTATGGTTCTCTTGTATGATCTTGGTTTGTTTTCCCAAATGACTGAACAAAATCCACTTCCCTCAGAGACTCTTTTTAAAATGATTTGTATTTTTTTTTGCATTTCCTGCTGTGGTTTCCTGGAAGCTGCTCAGGCTGTAGTTATGGTGCTAAAGGTTTGAGTCCATCATGTGAGAACCATAAAGTGAACCATAAAAAGTGCTTGTTGTGGCAGGACCTGGTCAAGGCTGTACCTCAGAGAGCTGGAATCAAAAAGCCTTAAGCTGGTTGTGCCAGACTGTTGCTGTTCTGATAAATAAAATAAAAAATTGAACAACAAGAAGGTGATGACAATTTCATTGTGGTATTGTTGCTCAAATAAAGAGCAATGTGTTTACCTGAGTTTCACTTTTCCTGGCTGATTCAAACCATAAACATATCACAACTCGGTTTAAAGTTAATTAAATTATTTCATCAACCTACCTTAAAATAATTAAATGGAGTAATTATAAATAAAAGTACTTTCACATACAATAAAAGAATGGATTCAGTTTGTATTTTGTTTTGTGTAAACAAGTACTTGCACAAGTTTAATAATGTGAAGAATGTAGAGATTGAAGAATGTTTGAAGACATTAATAAGCCATTATAATTGGCTGAATGGAAGAAAATTCCCTTCATTGAGAGGATCTATTCAAAATTCACAATTTATGTGTTTTTGTGCTTCCATTCGTGTTTCAACTGTTTCTAAAATGAGACAAGCACTTAAAACTATTTTTTGAGAGTAATTTAACTTTTTTGGTGTCTGGAAATGAGTCATTTCAAAAAGTTGATTGTTAAAAGGGCAGTATTATGTAAAATTAACTTTTTTGAGCTTTATATCAGGTAACATGATATAAAGCATCCAACATCCATCTGTGTGGCTCACAGGCCATTTGTGTCCCTTGAAATAATTTAGTTTGGCCCCAGACCACAACTCATTTTTTTTAATAGATTGAAAACAATTGATGACCCAAAGATTTTGAATTTTTTTTTTCCAAATTTAAGGCAACAGTCCAAAGGGATTTTCAATGGTGTACAGATTTTATTTAAAAAATTGTTTTTCAAATTTTTGGGTTAACAAATTTTGTGGTCCACCAGTAATTTAAATTAGCTAGTTTTGGCAAAGTTTGGACACCAAAGTGTTACATTGTTATTCACTCCTCAAAAGCATACTTGGAGTGTTCCCTTGATTCTTTCATGAATGCTTAAGAAATACTGTAATCTACCATTCTCCCATGCAGCTCCTTCATACTAGCCAGCAGCAATTAGCAAACACCTGTTGGAACTGTTTATCAGCTGGGCTCATTATAGGAGCTGCTTCTCAGTTCAATGCTGGTAGAAATGTTGTGAAAGGGTTAATAGAAGAGCAACGTGATGACTTCCTGAGGGCAGGAGCTTCTAAAAGAGACAAATGGCCAATTTCAAGGCTTTAAATTACAGTCAAATTTCTAGAACTTTTATACTAACTGAAGTTAACATAACATAATTGTGCTATAAAATAGCATTATGTGCCTGGAAATACATAAAACTGTGCCTCCACACCGTGAAATTAGAATATAATTTATGCCTGAACAGCAGAAAACAAGGTTTTAGCACATTTAAAGTTAATATGGACTAAATGGAAAGTAAGATCCAAAAATACATCCCTAATAGTGACCAAGAAGATGTTGCTGGAAGGAAATAAGCGCATTGCATCCGTCACTGTAATTTAAACGAGCGGAGCAGATGCTCGTCTTTATTTCTGCAGGGATGCACAGGGGGACACTTTGAGTTTGGTGATTATGAAGCTGTTTTCCAGGGTTACAAGGCATCTGTCCTCAGAGCAAAATAAATGCAGATCAGCTCGTTACACGGGGAAAAGAGTGGATCCTAGTCCAACTGGAAATTCATGGGTGAAACTGTAGAGAACAGCTTGTTCAGCTATATGAAAATGATTGATTTTCATCATAAAATTCATAGTTCTCATAAAACTCTAGCTGTCAGTAGAGCCGGAGGATGTGCAACAATTGAAGGTGGTTTATTGCATTGCATTGCATATGTTTTCCCCTCTAATTAATATGGACAGAAATGTGCCATTAATTACAGCGTAGTTACATTTTTATGTCATGTATTTTATGATGCCAGAAAGTGAAATAGTTTTTGTCACTCTTAAAGGGCCAGTGTTTTATATATTTTCTTGTGTTCCCTTCTTGAACACCTGATTTTAACGATCTGTCCCCCTTTGCTTCAAGGCAAAACAACTGCAAATATATGAAATCTTACCAAGTATGTTTGTTCCAGTTTCTAGTGAAATTATCTTAATGCAGTAGAAAAAAAAAACTTAGTTACAAATAACTTTTCAGCAAGATATAACTAATTCCTTTATGTTGATTAAAAAGTTCAAAAAATTGGCAGATTATTTTACTTAAGATTTTTTCCCTTGTTATAAAGGAGAACAAGTTTGTATATTTTGCTGAAAAATTACTTGTAAGTTAGTCTTGTCTTATTTCAAGTATCTCACTAGAAACTAGACCAAACATTAGCTTTTGTGTTTTTGCAGTGATCCAGAAAAGACCCACTGCAAACAGTGACAGACGGTCACAGAAATACACATTACTGACTTAATACACTCACTTTCAGTTTCATTCTTATAACCCAACAACTGTGAGTCCTAGATCAAACTTTATCAGTTTCAAATGCCAAGCTGTTGAGTTTGCCGTTTTTAATCTGACAGTCACAGGTTGAAATGTAACCAATTTATTCACAGGTTGCAAACAGCGAGGAGGTGCATTTGATAAGCGTTGATATGAAATTGTGTTTGAACGTGACTGAACGTGCTTCAGATCTACAGATTGTTAAAAAAAGTGTAAGGAAACAAAACAACTAAAGTTGTACACTTTAAAACATCAGAAATTTTCCTAATAAGATGATTGATGAGTTGGTAGTCAGATATTGATGGTTTATGATAGGAGGAAGTGTTTATCAGCTGTTCGGCCTTATCTTGAGGGTTGCACATTTGTGTTGACTGCAAGACTTTCTAGCTCGTCATAATTACGAAACTGTATTTCATCGTCATAACTTTGCTACCTCATCATTACAAGATACATTTTTTTGCAGACATGCACATTTCCAGAAGAGTTATTTTTAAAGTAAACAGTTTCATGTGACAGAGCATTTAAATAATGTAAAAAAATCCCAGGATGATGTGTATAAGTTACAATTTAATAGTTATCATTCTACTTCACTCAATTTGTGTCATACAGATGGATTAATTTCTAAAAATTGGCATAAACTTCCAACAATGCAAACAATGTTCTGCCTTTTAGGTGGTTAGAGTAAAAGCCAGTTAATTGACAAATTAATTATATTTTGGGTAGTTTTCAACTTTCTTTGCGTTTCTAACTTTTTTTTAAATTTAGGCCTATTTTTGTCGGCATCTGGACTTTGTGAGAGGCAAGAAAGGGTCAATGAATGGTCCAATAATTCAGCTTTAAGGTGCAAATTATGAAATGACATATTTGATCTATGTCACTACATTATCAAAAACAATAAGGAATCAACTTGCGGTTCTCAAAACTAAAAGATGTATTTCAGTTTATGGACAATAATAAACACTTTTTGGGGACCAATATTTAAAATATTACTTTTAAAATTTCCATCTTTGCATGACTCCTTCCGGCTCTACACCCAATCAACTGCCGGCAGCGAGGGGATTTTTCTGAAGTACCCAATCAACTCCACTTATTTTCAAGGTTTGAGCTGCATAATTAGCTTAACAACCAATCACGTCTAAGTGGGCGTGGCTAAACGGCATTTACCGGTACTCGTTGCCTTTGTGTTCAACAGCTGCATTTTCAGAGTAGAATGGCGACCGCTCTGTGCGGTCTGCAGTCTAGTAACGGAAAACAGGCGAGAGCTCGTCGCGAACACCGGAGGAAGACGAAGGACTCCCTCAGGAGACGGGCTGCTATTTTCTTCCTCAGCAATATTTCTCTCGATGGAAGACCCCAGGGTCAACCTACCGCTGGAAATGCCGACCAAAAAGCCGGTGAGGAGACCGGACTCAGGGACGGGGAGGGCGGCGCGGCGGTTAAGCTCCTCCGGACTGACAGCGGAGGTCCGGTCAACCAGGTGACAGACCCCGCAGCGGAACCGGGGAGCGGCTCGTCCTCCAGTTTTCCCCGGGGACTCGCTCTTGTCCGGCCTTCGTTGGTAGCGTCTCCTGGACCGACCGCCACCAGTTCTGTGGGACCCAACGAGGTATTTTTAGAGACCTGCGGCGCGGGGGAGACGCAGTTTCCGGGTATCCCGCTGTCTCCGCTGACGAGCGGACACCAGCCCTGCTCCCGGGCCAAATCAACGCCCGCCGTGCTCAGCCCGACCCCGGCCGGAACCTCTCTGGAATCCCGGCAGAGGTGAGGCTTGTGGTCGGTGTCACCACGGAGCACCGTGGGCCTCCAAGCGGGCCACCGACTTCCGTATTAAATGGTTCTGATTCTCTCCACCATACCAGAGGAATTCACTCATTTAGATGATATAAATTATCTGTAATATTAACTGTTTTGAATGTTAGGAAACTGTTCATTTCTCCCTCAGGCTGTTATATAAAGCTACTTTTAATAATAGAACCTATTGAGTAAGCTGATAATAAATTAATCACTTTCCAAATTAAAATGAGCTGCCATTCTGATGATTAATGTTTTTGAAGGGCAATTATGTTTATAGAGACTTCATAATTCATTTTGTTTTACTGTCTGTTTATTTGTTGCTCTTGGTGGTTTTGTTTTGTTTTTGGATATTTAAAGTATCTACCAGATCCAGTGTGGCGTGTCCTGAACAACGGTAACATTTATTAGTCTTTGAGAGGGGAAAGTTGCACTGTTATCCCATCATCAATACTTTTTTTGTGCAGGCAGAGGAACATTTCTGGTTCTCCTGGACCCAAGGTGCCAAAGAAAGTCCACTTCATCAAGAGCATGAGGCAGTATGACACAAGAGGAAGCAGGTATGTCCGCTTTAAAATCACTTTTAATGAGCAGAACACAGAAAAACAAGACTTGTTGTAATATTCATAAAGGTGCTTTGGTAGCAGCAGCACAGTGCTCCTGCATAGAGTTGTTGTAAGCTGATTAATTCTGGTACAGAGAAATAACCCGGATATACAGCTGCTGTTTAGGGGATTGCCACACCGAATATAATCACTGTTGGAAGCTTAGCAAAAGCCAAAAGAGGTGCAGTGAGGAAATCTAACACCGTATTGCACCAGCTGTAAGGTTATCCCGAAGCAAGATGAGGCTTAGATGACACACTGTTGGTGTCCGATTAGGCTGGGTTCTCACACAACTTCAAATGTCATGAATATTTTGGCTTTGCAAATGATTATATATTTACCTCTAATTTTCATACTTGTCATCATCTCCTTCATATTCATCTCCACACGCTTTCGTTTGTTTGTGTTTATTCTGCAAACTAAG